TATTGGCTGCTGATTAGTGGGTACATGTACGGCGGGGTCACTGTGAGTACTATGTAATACCGTAGTACTCTACATACGCAGGGTGGGTTTCGACGTGTAACATGTGGGAACAGTGAGGCACTGCGCCTCAGGGGACTCGCCATACGGGACGATATTTTAAAGTGGTACCAAAAGTGGGCGGGGATGTGGCGTCCCCTACGCCTTTTTTTTCGCTGGCGGGGCCAGGCGGGGCTATCGCGTTGCATGCCCCGCCACAGCCCCCTCTACAGCCCCGCCTAGCCCCCTCATGGCCCCCTCTAGCCCCGCCATTATTGAGGGGACCAGGCGGGGCTAGACGGGGCTGGTGCTGGCAGGGGGTCTCCGTGCTGTCTTGACCCGGAGTTCTTGCCAATTGCATTGCAGCTGTGATGCTTTCTCCCTTTAATAATCATGTGATATCCCATAGGCCTCCCAAACCTTGTATTTATATGGAGCATTACCAAAGCCAATAATGAAGTTCTGGGGAATGCGGCTTCTCAACTATGCGGCCGCAGTTTTAAAGTTTCCGTAGGCGCTCCGATATAGACACTGCGTCTACCTCTCATACAGCCAACATGCCAACCGCGAGTTTCTGTGAGCCTGCGGAGTTTTCTTCAGGGAGCTGGCCAAAGATTGTATAGAAGATCGGACGACCCATTGCTATGCAAAATAAATAACGCCACAGTACGTAAGCAAGAGTTGCTGGCAGTATGAGTACTAAGGTTTGCACTCTGACTCGATGACAAGATAGTTGGTGTTACCTGGGCACAGCCGAAAGGACACGACGACTACGTAAACAACTAAAAGTATTGAAACAAACGATGATGAGCACGCAGAGTAACTTGCTTAGGTTTTCCGCGAACGATTATATCTACCGCTGCATCACAAAGTGTCCGTTGTAGTTATATATACAAGGCAAAGGCAAAACGTCTGGAGGTGGACTGGGAAATCTAAACGACCAGGCAGCACCTACTCTGGTCCCCACAACAGATTCAAAACTGGCAAAAAACACTATAACCAGGTGGCCAATACAGTCTGACCCTCAGCCCTCAGTGAAAACGAGATACAACGTCAGTTGGCAACCTTCCAAGACACGGTTGTTGGCACGACGTGGTAAATTCAGTGTATCAGATTAATTATGAGGAGGAATACCCTAATTAGCCGCGAGGATGAATTATTCAGCACTGACTCCAGTCCATCTCCCTGTGTCCATGCGACAGTTCGACCGTCAATTCGACAATGTCCACCGTGTGCTACACAGCTAGGTGCAGCAGGCACGGTGACTTGTGCATGAATCAGTTTATAGTGATAGTAGATTTTCGGTACATCCACCGCACTTCCTCTTCCCCATTCCTCAACTGGACTCGGTGTCAAGACAGAGTCGAGAAAACCGGAGGCGAGGGGAGGGTGCAGGAGGCTGGCACGGCCGGACCCGCACCTAGGTGTGTCACCACACCCCCTGGTCCATAACATACGTTTGACCAAGATTTTTCACCAACAACAACAACACCTCAACAAGGGTCAACGGTTCTTGCCTAGCGTCCATGCACCAGGCAAATGTCGGAACCTGTCAAAGATGGTGATGAGATTGATCTTAGTGGCTGACGTGGCGTGACGTCGTCTTCTGGCAGCGACTTTCTTGATTACCACAATAATCTGGGCTCGATCCCGCTTTGGTTGATAAGAGAAAGATACACGTAGAAGGGGTTCAGTCCGTATAGAAGCTTGGCGGAGGTCAGAGCCCTCGGCTGCCGTGTGCGCCTCACTGCAAGGGCGACTTGGTAGGAACGGACAAATGTCTTTTGAGAACGAGTCACAATCAGCTTGGTGAATTAATGTGATTATTACGGAGTTTTTGGGCGGCCGTGATTGACTGTCCTTGGGACCGAATACTTGCACCTTCTGTACGCTCGTAAGCCGTGCTAAAATGATTCCTTACGCCACGTATGTGTCAGAATTGAGACACTGCTACGTTCTTGCGTATATTGTGTGGTACAGACCTGCTGGTCTTCAGCTACATGAAACCGGACATCACAAAGTACAAAGGCCTCACGCAATTCGGATGTGCCGCTATGTGCTTTCGAGTTCTCGTCCGTCATACTGACGCTGGCTGATTGCATAGCACGCATGTTACTTGAATGTTGTGGTGCTGGGAGTTGTCGTGTATGCGCATGGGATTCAATGGTTTCACGTGTAGCCGAATTGTGATTTTGTGTAGACATAGTATGAGAGGCCGTGAGGGTCTCGATTACGCTGTTTTACTAAAGACAGTTGTGGATGAACACACAGCGGAATAGGCTTATACGGTGGCAGAATTTCCTAGGACAGTGTGAGTAGGTGATGAGTAATCGACAGGCGTACGCTGAAACACCAGGTACTGGTTCGACTGTTGAGTACGATGGATTCGCATCCAATCAACCAGGCCCATTCGTCGATTAGATAAACGACGAAAGAGAATAGGCTGGAACTGTATCTCATTCCAGATGATGATGGTGGTTGTGGTGTCATTGGTGTAGGCTTCGGTGATTTGCTGTGGTGGTGGTGCTCAACAAAATGGGAGGCAAGGTGGTTGGAGTCACCTCCGTTATGTCATTTGCGTTGATGACCCTTTGTGCCGCAGTTGCTGAGCTGGGTCTTTGATTATGACGATGAATCCGAAAATTCCGATAGGTTCCGAGGACGTTAGGCAGCTAGTTTTGCATATAGGAAGGATTTAAGTGCTTGGAGCGTTGATCTGTGACATTGGAGTTTTGGGTGCGTGCCCATTTGCCCTCGAAATGCCTCATATTTTGCTGCTGCAGTCTTTATGCTAGTGCGTCATGTCCGTAGATTTTGCGCAAGGCCTCCCAAGCTCTCAAAGATGATATCCAGATAGCTGAGAAATTTTTTCGTGGTGTCTCGTGTGTACGCCCTTGTCCACTTGTTTGCGAGAACCCATAGAGTCGTCGATCTAAAGTAATAGCTTAGACGAGCGCTTTTCGGCATCCTCGCGACCTGATTGTTTCGGCACAATCGCATAGTTTTAGAACCGCGTAGATACCGAGAACGCTGGCTTTTTCCAGGACGTCAGTTTCTGGCATCCTTTTCCTACCACATTGTTTTCATTCAGTATACGGAGGCAGCTGAAGTACAAATGATTGGGGTTTCTTTTGCGTCTCATATAGACTGTCTGTGTGATCGTCCTGTGCAAGAGCTTTCGTCAGAACAACAGCGGAGGATACTGCGGTAATTCCAGATGAGTGTAGCAGCCTGCCAAAGACTGTCTTGTTTCGGAGATACGATTGACGATTTCGTTGTTAGCCTTGATAATTCCTACGTGTGTGAGACGAGTAACAATGACATTGGTCCTGAGTTAATTATGTTTACCATTTGGCCCCTGTTCGCGCATGAGCACTGTTTTTCCTGTGCTATTAGTCAGCCTGGATTATGAGTGATTGGAGGCAAATAGTTCGCGCTGAGTTGCTAGCCCTCGTCCGTCACTGCATCAGCCTACAGTCGTGCATCGAAAAGAATTCCTGAGTGCTGACCTTGAAAACTTGCGAAAAAAGTATCCGAGCGCTGGACACCAAGTAACTGCCATTCGGACTCATAGTCAATGTTGATTGCCGGCCACTCCTAATGGTAGCTAATTAGCATCGTGGAGGGGAACATGAGCCTAAGACTCGCGAGAAAGAGTATGTTGGCGTGCTTCATCTCAAATGCCACCGCGATTGTTTTCGAGACGGACGCATCGTCCTTTACGTGCGCCATCATCCGTGATTCAGCTGTCTCGCCATCTGCGCGAATCGACCCGGACATTTTAATTTCAGCATTACCTCTCAGAGCTCATCGTGGTTGACTGTGTTTTGGGCTCTTGTTAGGTATACGAGGGTAGAGTTTAGGCTAGTCTATATTACCTGGGAATTTTCTGGTAGCTGACGGATCGTCAAGTCGGTAGTGCCACAGAGCTTCTGCAAGGAATCCTTGCTCCAGAGGCGTGTTCGGACAACTGACCAAGACCCAAGCCAACATCCTGCCTGCATGGCTTGGATAAAAAATTTCCCGGTGGTTGTCTCGGATTTGATGTTTTCCTTCTAACTTGTACGGACACGCAATAACTGCATCATGGGAAAACCTGTCCTGGTCGCAACATCTCCTGGAACAATGGGACAAGCTTGTTAATAAGTTGGAAATGTCCGATTTGCTCCTTTTTGTCAGAATATCGACGCTGCCCGAGGCTTCTCTCTCTCGAAAAATTGTTGAACAGCTTTAATTATCTTTTGCAGCGGTAGCAAATGTCTGCGGTCCATACTAATTTAAGTTTGAGGAGCACATTTGATGTCCTGTACGCAGAATGATGACGAGTGGTTAAGAACACCTTTAAGGTGATAATGCGACTGCCTTTTCCGACGACATCCATCGTGTGCCTCACATGGTGCGAGCAGAAACGGTGTCTTAAACGTGAAGTAGTTTATTGTGGTAGATGAGTGAGTGAAGAGCGATTAGATGATTCGGTTTCAATAAGTACGCTAGAAAATATGTAAGCATACAGCGAGGGTATTTTATTAAAACGAAATTGGGGCGGTAAAGGCAAAATAAGAGTACCGGGCCAGCTGGCGGCTCCCAGTTCTCGTTTGTATGGCATTTAGGGCAATACTGTAGGTCTGGTTTAATTATCGAATTAAAAACGGCTTGCTAATAGTTTAACACCTTATTTGGGCTGCACTTCCCCGATGGTTTAAATTTTTCGCCGAAGAAGGAAGTTTTTTTACCATTTTACACGTGCTCTGGTTGCGGCCTGTAAAACTTATGCGTATTTAAAGAGTCGGGCCGTTAAAAATGAATTCTAACATCAAGTATCAAACAATGAAGCAGATGGAGCTTGTGCTAAATAAGGTACCTCTTCCTGATTTCATTTTAAAGCCTACTATTTTAAGCTGCCTGGTCAGAAATGCATGCTTGTTGACCCAATTTTAATAAGACCGTTGGACAGGACTGTCTCAATGAAGTTTCTTTCAACGCTCAATGTCTGCAAGGTTTACAAGATTCAGAAACTCCCACCCGAAGCTTCGCTCGATCGGCTTGTCTACGTCATTCCACCAAACAGACGCTCCCTCGAGGTCATAATCGAGCATACTGAGGTTGATAAGCAGAATAGGATCAAACGTACTCGACTTGTGGCGTTTGTTCCTAAACAGGTTGGTCGGAAGTTTTCATTCACCTTAAATACGATTTTTCTCATCTGGATGCAAAGGGACACTAGACTGTCATGCAGGGACTTGAATACCAGACCATTCCTCTGAAACCAGTTAGTTGTCGGTTAGGTCTGTGGTTTAACTCAATTTTGAGGAAGACTGTAAGCATCCGACCCCGGGGCCCTGCTACCGGTCGCTAACCCACTTTGTTCCTCGTAGCGCTCCAAACCCTCTTGTGTTCGCTCTGTTGACTCTTCCTGTGGAAATCAATGGAATCGAACGATGTAGATGCGGGAAGCACTAGGCACTTCCGCCACAGTAACATGCTAACACTGATCGGACTCTGAATTATAACATTACATGTTACTAGTTGATTTTGTGAAATAATATTTTAATTATCAACGTCAAAAATTGAATACAGTAAAAGATCCTGGCGTGCCATCTAATGATTTTACCGAAAGTAATTTCATAAGATTGGTTGCAGACGTCAAAAGCGGTATCATGCCATAACTAATACCATTGCTTTCAAAACACGTTTATCCCCTGGAAACACACCCCACCTATGAACTTTTTCTGGAGTGTCCTATTGCCTGCCACTCCGTAATGATTTGTCAAAGAAGTTAAACAGCATGTTGCCTCGGTAGGCTGCCGCATCTTGTCATACACGCTGTCTCCTGATAATGTCAAAATACGGAGAGTTCTAGTGACGTATTTTGGTTTCTGTCACCTTTGGAACCAATGACTATGAGGGGGGTTTAGACTGTCCACGTTCAGTCATTTCTTATATACGGATCGTAGATCTGGGAAGGCGTTCCGAGGCCGGCTTTCCTCGATGGCATGCTTTAATACGGCTGTGCATGCGAACTATTTAAACGGAGTCAACCATACCCAGTCATTTCGACGGGATTCCTTAGGCAGCTTTACACAGAGTCGGTTGGCCAAGCAACTAATTCTAGCAGACTATTGTGTATCCTTCTACGGCGCAGGTCCAACCATCCAATTATAACTTGTTTCAATCACGTCCCGAAGGTGAAAAGGGAGTAGTGTATTGTATACCAAGGAGCCTTTCAAGTTATTTCCTTACTAAAACAGTATTCTCAGTCCATTGGTCATGTCGCCAACCAGAACTGTTAGCCAAACACAGTGGCTATTCCGAGGGTTTTATTTCGTAACATTCCGGGCCTTTCGTCTATTTTTGTACACTCTCCTCTTGCTTTGATGATCTAAGCGCTGCAGATTTTGCTTGGGGCAGCGGACAGAATAATCATGCTCTATACCAAGTTAGGGAGCTCTAAATCCTGGCGAATCAGACGTCAAAATTCCACCTTTCAGTTGTGTAACAGAGAGAGAGAGAGAGAGAGAGAGGAATTCACTTTATTTTTAAATTATAAATTCAAAATTTTCAGCGAAAATTGGCTTTATTCACTAATTTAGATTGATCCGAACTAGAATTCTAGATCTGTCTTTTAATCAACGACTTGGTAAAAGGTTGAAGTGACCTAAAAGTTTCCTCTTTTACCTATTTTCAAGCTCATGACAATTTTTTTGAACTAGAATCTCTAGTGTGTCATGTATATTATGTGAAAATGTTAGGCAATTCTGATGTTTAACGTGATTTTTTGAGTTAAAGTTTTCAGGTTACCTCTCTTACTCCTCCGGCCCTTTATCTATGAATACACACAATCAGTTCAGTAGATTATCAGCATCTTCGATCGATTTATGATTTTAGAATACTTCGAAGCCTTCCGGTTAGATTCATATTTTTCTGCACAGAAGATTGCTCAGTTTCATTTTTACAAAATTTACTTTTGCAGTGAAACCTGCGTTGAATTACTACCTTGGCTTAACTCATTGGCCTTAAAATCGGGAAGACTTGATTCCCTAGAAATTATATCCATCCAGTGATGATAATTTATTGTAGACGTCCGCCGATCGAAAATTTCAATTAGAATAAGCCGTACAAAATGCGTCCCAAATGGATCGACGCATGGTGTAAAAGCTCATAGTGCTGTTTGACTTTTCGGTGTCCTTTTCAGTCACCACATCTACCCAATTCAGAACTGTTCACGACACAACGCCCTTAGAACTCCGTCGTAGATCATGAAGTTGCGAATTAACCCAACATTAGTCGTTTAAGAAATGTACATTCCATATTCGCTGTAACCACAACACTTTCTGTGCGCAGTCGAGTTTCAGGGAGTTTCGTGAACTCCTTTCTACTCGCGGATACCTAAGTCAAATGACTTTTTAGTTTTCCACATTCTCTCTTGAGATGCCAGGGCATAGGGACCGTTTTATATGATTGTTTTATGCTGGCCTTTTATACACTTTCTGTTTCCGGCAACTACAGACGGTAGCAGTGCAGTATTTATTGGAATCGCGAGGTCTTCTTGGCGGTGACCTACAGACTGCTGGTCTTTCCTTTGGATGGATTCCACTTGAAAGTGACCTATTCTCACTGAATCTCCCCGAATTGTACACGGAGTACTTCCTGCATGGTGACACTTCATGGACATACCACTTCGGTCAAATGCTGGGCCAGCTACTACAGGAGGTTCTCGGACCAGGCGAATCCTTAGAAGATGTTAATGTGAGCCTACAACGCCTACGATTATGTCATACAACGATTCTTCCAACGTAATTTCTTGGCATTAAGTGGGCCCATAAATAAGTTTTAACTACCTCTGATGCCAATTCTGAAACGTGTTATACCGCAAGAAGTGACTTCCGAGTGGATTATGCAAACAATTACATTCCGACCAGACTCTTCTTGAAATTTTGAACATCCACCTCCGGAAAGTAGTAGGGCTCCAGATTCAAACAGATTATTTTATCAGCCTATTGTACTAGGGCACCTGGAGGGTCTTACTAGTTTTTGAGAGCCACTTTGCGGAAAGTTTTGTAGTCTGCATGTTTCCAAGCCGTTGGGTTGATCGCCTGCTGTTGAATGATTTTGCCTTTCATTGCATGTTATAATTGGATCTTGTAAACGATCTAAATCCATGGGAGGCAGGGTTGCCGTTATTGTGCTAGCCCATGCTTGGTTGTTTCCAAACACTTTCACACTGTCCCACGGACTAAGAGCGTCTTAGGGTTCTTCAGTATAAGAAAAACGGCGCAAGTGGAAGAACGTCCTTCACTGTACGTCAGCGCACAGTTATAATCGCTGGCAAAACGGTTATTTCGGAGGCATATGTAACACCATAAGGCCGAATACATCATGACGGACGCTATGAAAAGGAGGCATCGAAAATATTTAAGGCATTTCCTGCTCAAGATCCCATCTGCCTTTGATATGCTTAGTTACTTGGAAATAAGATGTGGTGCCTTGCTTAATTTCCGAGGAAATTAATGCGCGAACTTGGAGTAACTCTTTCGAAACAGGCCTTTTCAGGCACGGTCCGAAATTTGATATGAATATTTGAGCTGAAATCCATCAGCTACTGCGGAATAACCGCTTAATATTCACAAACCGCCAACAGGCAGCCAGTAGTATAGCATTGCGCAATAATTTACCGTACTAACAACTAATACCTGTGTTGTTAGTACGGTAAATTATTGCGCAATGCTATACTACTGGCTGCCTGTTGGCGGTTTGTGAATATTAAGCGGTTATTCCGCAGTAGCTGATGGATTTCAGCTCAAATATTTATATCAAATTTCGGACCGTGCCTGAAAAGGCCTGTTTCGAAAGAGTTACTCCAAGTTCGCGCATTAATTTCCTCGGAAATTAAGCAAGGCAAGTTGAAACTGGAGTTCATATACCAGAAAACACACGGGGAAAGCTGGGGGACCCACTGACGAGCCGAACCCCTCGCAACTGCGTCAGGCAGCGGCACAAGATCGGCGAAACACGCGTGTCTGGGCTTAGCTAATACCTGTGTTGTTAGTACGGTAAATTATTGCGCAATGCTATAAGATGTGGTATTTTAATTTCCCTTTGACTCATGAGTGTTTTTAAGCTTTAAAGTCATTTAACAGTTGGATACTGTTTGTTAGAATATTCGTGGGACTGGATTCACTTCTTGTCTCGCGTTCAAATTTTGATTTTTTTACTTAACCTGTTTTTCTAGCTGTACGCTTTGGGGAGTGCTGCGCAGGCTACCGCAGCTGGTTTAAAGTCTTTCCTACTGAGTTCAGGCAAGACGCCTCCGCCCCGACCGTCAAAAGACGACGGTGAAAAACGCGTGGTACAGAGGCCGCTGGTCCTCCTTTTCAGTCGCAGTGAGTCCGCTGTGCGTCTTTATTCTCCATTTGTAAAATCGCAACTATATCCTGTACTCCATTCAAGTATTTGCCCTGTTCCATTTATTTAGATCTTGACTACATCACGCCTTTCATTGTGCCGATGACCTTTGAGGCCCTGATTCACGAGGCTATCGGAATTGATAACGGCAAGTTTTGAGACGAAAACATATTGCCTCAGATGTGCACTTGTCGCTTTTTGCGTTCCGAACTGCACCCCTACACTTGACAGTCGTTTATTCCCGTGGCATTCACACAGTCCATTAGCACTCAAACGCCACCTAAATTGCTGTTTCTCTAACTTCGACTACTCCGTGGTTCCTGGAGTCATCTTTTCCCACCGACCCGCCTTCTTGGTTTTGTTGTTAATGCCTTCCATATTAGCTAGGAGCCGCATTACAGTTAGTAAGCAACCGTAAACGGAAAACTCACACAGGACTGAGCAGCCACATGATTTGTCAACGAAACCCCTTTTGTAAATCCCATAAAACTTTTAGCTTTCAGTCCCTGATCATCCCCCCTTTGCTTACATTTTCAGGTGTCGTCTGTTTACCCAACGTTCGTAAGGAGGATTGTGTGCCGCCGAAAATCTTCCTCAGCTGTGCTTCACTACCCAGCTTTAAGGTACGTGGCTATACATCCCTTCACTTCTACAGCGACGTTTCGCGTCTAGCATCACTCAATGTCTTGAAAAATTTGCACAATTTTGGTGATTTTCGCCGGATGACAATCCGCGAAAAGAGGAGGTCCTGGGAGGCAGCCATGAAAGGACCTATTCCACCGCTCCAACGGGAACTCCGTCTGCCTGACTTTTTGACTTAACTTTTAGACCTACCTCTCAGAGACAGTAGACATGGGTAGCCGGTGTAAGGGGCCGCAGTCGTTATGCTACGTCATGCTTGTTACAATTAGCGGTCGAGGCGGTATTGTAGCGGTTGGAGTCATTGGTCCTGAATTCTGGGCCCGGTTTTAAAATAATGCCTCTGTCGCCAACGGACGAGATCTTGTGTTGGCACTTAAAGGACACCTTAACGCCGCCTTCTGGGACCTACGGTTTACGGCGGAGGATGAAGAGAACAGTCGTCGCGTCTTCCTTAAAATGCGATCCTATTGGACAGCTTATAACGATGTAAAACCAGGGTTTAGGAAAGCGGCACGTACGATGCAACAGCAACCATCCGACCGGCCGTAAACGCAGTTGCTTAAGACTGCCCTGTCAGCGCGATGAGACGCTCTGAAGTGAACCGCAATCCACGGTTGGTGAAATCAAATATCATCCACAGGTTCATACAGTCAATGGCTTTCCGGGGAACGTTACCAACCTCAAGGAAGAAGAGAGAAAGGACCAAGCCGCACTGCACCCACATGTTGGTGAACTCTCTTAAATGTGATTGACTCCTCTTGATCCATCAACTACCTTTTCACATTACTCAAAGTTGCGGCTGTACACGGACCAAAGGCAGCCATCAGGCGCCAAGGACTGAGGTCGAAAGACGATCCGTCGCGGTAGTGAATGCATAAAGCAGTTTACTATGGTACACTTAAGGAAAAAGCAAATACATCTGAAAAATAGGGAGATTACTCAGAATGTAGATGGCCAAAAGCACGTCAGCTCTCAAGCCACGTCTTAACTGACAGAAACCGATCACAGCTCTAAGTTTGGCGGGCCCGAAATTCCTATGAGAGACGGTGACTGCATGGATCGCGAGCTGCCCGAATCATGGTTTTCCGGCTCACAACATCTACATTTAATTAATAATGCATCGTTTATGCATCCACCCACCCTTATCTGTTGATGTCCGTGGTGTTTGCATCGAAAGTGGGTCCGAAACATCAAACGAACACAATTATTGTTCCAACAGTGTGGCAGTCCATACCACCAGGATCAGTCTGTTTCGTTCCCTCTGTCTTTAACTATTATTTAATACTTTTCAGACCATTCCCGCACATATTTTTGCACCTATGCTACGTTGCCTTAACGTGTGCCTGATGTTGGTCCCTACGGACTCTGTCTATCGTCTCCAGCTGTATTTTTTGCTCTGTCCTTCCTCTGTACTCATCAGCACTACCACGTTTCCCTACGCTGTCTGATTTTCGCCTTAGGAAGTCCGCGATGCCCACATCTCGACTGTGCACAACTGGCTGCGAGGTCGCAAAGCGAATTTGGACGACTCCCGGACGGGTGTCAGCTTCAGCCTCACGGCCATGGGTAGTAACTTTGGCGAGGTACCCGGTACCTCGGGTGGACAGGGTAGAGGCTCCACAGTTCCCGGGGCACCGAGCACCACCAGCCTCTCTGATCTGCACTCTCAGCTCAAACCGGTTCTGGCGTTGAGAAAGGAACTAACCACTCTCTTCGTGTGCCTGGAGGAGGCCAGTACATATATTTTCTCAACTTCCATTTTCACCACTCTGTCCTTTTAGGTTCACTAACTTAACCACCCAGCTCTGAAGCTTTCTGCTCCGGGTTCCTCTTTTGATATGAAAATTTGCTCGCATTAAAAACCAATTTTCTCTGAATAGGGGGCGAGTCTATTCAGTTTTAACTCGGTATGATCTAGTTGACGCGCGTTTAAACTGTTACAGTTTCCTACTGTCCGTGACTTGAAGGTTGTAGACAGAAGGCCACTTGGTCCTTGTGGACCGACAGTCATACTCGGATGATTTCTTAGTATACCATATGTGGTCACCCATCTGACAATGACACTGTCGGTTTGCAATGCTTTTTTCGGTTGGGTACAAGAGAACTACCTGCGTGGCACGCATAGATGTGAGCACAATGTCCAGTCAGTCACTGCATCCCATATCGTCTCTAGAACAGCGGGTTGTCATTTCAGGCCTCCAGCACTAGTCCTCAGGTAACCTGTGCGGTGTCAAGAGCAGGTGATGAACCACCGTGGACCTTTATTTCTCTCCTGCGTGTGGGCAACAGTCAATTAAAGACGAGACAAAGGTCAACCTGCCACCCTTCCTTGCTTTAGCTAATACGCTAATTTTATCTTTTCAGGTTATGCGGAAGATGACCAAGGAGGAGAGGGTGGAGGATCTGATAAGTGCTCAGGTGGCAATTCTTCAGTCGGGCAGTGGCGGTGCACTAGCTGTGCCCTCTGGTCGTGAGGGGACTGTGTTTGGTCGTCAGCGTCCCAATGACCTTGATGCTATGCCTCCCGAAGCGGTTACGGGAAGCTGTGCTGAAGATCCCACCTGTCAACCTGTCCGGCTGGCCCTCGAGTGGTTATCCACAAAGTATGTACCCTGCTCCGCTTTACTATATGTCCGCATTCTAGGGAGTTACATTTTAAACCCATACTTTATTGTCATCTAGAAAGTTTGGAGAAGTAGAAATCCACTTAGTGTGTTTTGTACTAGTTATTCACTTGTAAGGTCTTAAACGGTGCTAGGTTAAGGACCTGCAAGTTATTCTACTGTCTCCAACCCAGCAGTGCCGCTGTTACGGTTGACTAAAACGGATTTTCCGTGTGCCCTACCTGAGTCTGTGTCAGCATTTAGTTGTTACCGCGCCTGCAGTGTCCCAAAAAACGGGCTACATGGTATATGCACCGGACCAACACATGGGCTGGATAGGAGTCCGACAGCCATCATCGGGAATCCGCACCCACAATATATGTCAGCTTTAGGATTGTCGTCACACGCCTAGGTGCAGGCTCGCGCCGCACCCATTGGGATCTCTGCCCTTCTGGTCAGTGTACGTTGTGGACCGGGGGGTGTGGTGGTGCGCCCAAGTGTGGGTGTACGCTATGTCAGCCATCCGAGCCGTTTCCCGCCCCAGCTCTTCTTGACGGTCTTGACGTGGGGTTCAAATGGGGAAGAAGAGAGTGCAGTAGATGCAGCACAAGTCTACTATGATTACAAATTAACTCACACACAAGTCGCCAGCCCTGCTATCGCACTGCTGAGGAGCACACGGTGGACATTGTGGGTCACGACGGTCGAGCTACCGTACCTACGTATGGCACGTCTTAAACGGAAGACTCAGGCCATGTAAGCCACTGTTCCCTATTTCACCCGGGTTGGCCGATAGGCTTGAGGACGTCGTCAGTGCATGGGTGTAGAAGGGAGGAGTAAGGCCGATTTGGAGATACTGCTCAGGGTGGCAATTCAGCGTATTCCTTACTGCAATCTGCTGTAGAGCATAAAAGGTCGTGGATTGAAGGGTCGCTATCTGACGGGAGCGCTGTTCGGGCTGTAATAGTCCCTTCTTAACGTGGCATTTCTGACTCCTGTTCCATGGGTAGGAGCTGGACTCCTATGTATCACGCGTTAGTCGGAGCTTAATATTGCTCTGGTCGCTGAGCCAGATCTCATAGTCCGTCCGTAGCAAGCCACGAGGACCACCGGCGTTCCGAAATAGGCAGAGGTGGTGAATAACGCGTTAGTTTTTAGTGATAGGACATGCGTGGTATCTGGCTATTTATTCCTATTCCTACCGTGCTTTAATGGCAAGACAGAGTTAAGGCGACTCACATTTGGCGGGGCAAAATGACTGACGTGGCAGAAAAACTACCGTCTACAGGTACTCGTTTGTCACAACTCGGACTGCTCTTCGGTGAGGAGGTCTCTGATCAATCGCGAAAAGGAGGCGCCACAACTTTTGGCGTATCGTGGTACTTTACCACGCTTTGCTGATGCATTAGTGCTTGGAACTCGGGGTAGGTCAACTGGGCTCTTTCTTCCCCTCCTATACCAGTAAAAAATCTGTGTGATGTCGAGTGGAGATGAGATTGAGGTCGGTGACTGACTTAGCATGAAGGTCATCACTGTACTCCCTCGGGCGCGTATAAGCCTTCCGTCATTGGCACCCACGCCGCACTAGGAATCATGCAGTCACGATTCCCGAGCGGCTGGTAGATGCATGCATACAGCCTCCGGGACAGCCAATCACAGACGCCCACAAACCCCACTGTCACCCAACCGACTAACTAAACCGATCCTGACTGACTCCCACATGACGCTGTTTCATTCACGTCCACGTCACCCTAGAGGGCATACGCGCACACAGGTTCAGAGTTGGCCGTGCGTCTGGGGCTCTGACCACGAGTGAGTTTAAATGCAGAATCTACGACTACTGGGGTCTTTCTCCTTCTTCGCTAAGGTGGGTTTGGGTCGTGATTATTGCAGTGCTCAGAGTCCACTCCCTACATCGACGTTACGCCGTCTATTTGTGCCCTTCATGCGGTAGATGTGCTGGACCAACACAGGGGCCAGACGTCATCGGGAATTCGCGCTCATAACAAACGCTCGTAACAACGCTTTGATGGGACCCCGATGGGTCTTTAATCCACATATTTTATTTATTTATTAGGGGGCGTGGTGGTACGCCTATTTACAAGCCCGTACTCAGTCGTGTTGGATTTGCCATGCCCGTCGAATGCGATGCATGTAGGGCTGGAGGGTGAGATGGATGCTGCGCAAGTCCGGTTAACTGTGCGCAATCGCTGTGCCCTTAGGGTAGTCGTAGTCCTCGTCTCTTGCCGCGGACGAACTGTCAGGCTACACCAACTTGTAAGACGTCTGTCTCCATGGAGTAATAGTCATTTTTACTTACACTGACAAAATAATGAAATTCTTTGGAAAACAATGGATTTTTCTCCTGTTTGCTGTTTGTTCTTGCGTCTATGTTGCGGCCATCACCCTGTCTCGGCTCAAATTCACTGGGTTGGTGACGGCCGCTAATTTTGATAAGTGTCTCCTACTGGCTTATTTTAAGTAACAATCTTTTCTGTCAGTCAAGGCAACAAGTTGACGGACGCAGTTCGTCTCTTATGCCTTCTATCACTAACTCATGATGGACTTGGTGAGGAACTATACGAAAGTGTGCATTTGGCCATCGAGCATACAGTGGGCTTCTCGGTGTACCCGCTGTTGCACGCACTTCGGCGCCTGAAACTTCTCTCAAGTCGAAAGGACTTCTCGACTCCACCCGAATCCAATAGCAAGGGCAGTCAGCTCTCACTGACGCAGTCCAGCGCTGAGAAATTGGTCGCGTCCGCAACTGGCCGACTAATTAACCGCCGGAAGTCAACTTACAAGTAAGCCTGTTTCCTTCATCAATTCGGAGAAAGCTTAAAAGTTACCAGGCAAAAGGCCTTTAGTTTTCTTTACACACCAGAGCACTATCCTTTTGTTAGCTATATGCCAGGTGGAACGTTGCAATCACTTAAACTTTTTGAAAGTAAGGTAGGTGTACGCCTGTATATGGCCTTTTTCTTGGTAGAAACCCATTGTTTAAAGTTACTTTGTGGTTGAAATTTCCGCTCATTGTTTTTCGATGCTTCAAACGGCGCATAAGGAAGGGTTTAAAGTGGTACTTTTGCTCTCCAAACCAGTAACATCTGAAGTTGTTATAGGGGTTTCCCAGCGTTGTCAAGATCGTCTCCGTGACAATGGCTTCTAGGTTTTACTTAACACTTGTTCTGCAGAACATAGTTCTCTTTTAAAGTCTGCAACGTATCAGTTTTTGTCAGTTCAACTGTGGCTTAACCTGTTTGTGTAATATTTAAGTGTCGTTGTGTAAGGAATCGATGAACCCTGCATCCAGGAAGGGATTCTTCAAACTTAGTTAAGCACAATTATGACGAAAATCCTGACGTTCCGCCGGAATGTGTACCTGGGGAGCGCCCCACTCACTGTACTAAGTTCCTCCATCGCAAACTGTAAAGATCACCATTGTCTCTCAGAGAGTGTACTGGTGATCTGGGGGTAGATTTGTTTGGAAGCGAGAGCAAATTGCACAGCCTCGGCGCCTTCACCAACCATGTTCCAGTCGTCTGACCTGGCCACAATCGTTGGCATGGTGTGAAAAATCTCGTTTACGCGTTCCACATGCCGCCAGCCTCCCTATCCACTCTCACTAGTCTTCGATGGGAGGGTCTCAGGTTTCTCACGAGGGAATGATCCCATAAAGGCCACATTCTCAGAGATCTACTGCGACTTAACTCTCGTACTAAAAGGGGATTAAGTTGTCCCGTCGAATGGCAAGTCTCTAGTCACGACTTATAGGGTTTTTGGAGATGAGTTATTTTTGGGATTCGAGGTGGGTGACCCGCATCTATTCGTTCCTCTCCATACCACTAAAAAGCCCAGCGCTAGTTAAGTCTGGAATGTGTGACGTCCTAAGCGGTTGCCGCACACACCATAGGGAACGATTGGCCCATTGATTGTTATCGCTCTTACCGGGGGACCTGGCTACTGCAATCGGCAGATCATGACTGACTTAGGACGGTGTTCTTGTCTAACCTGGGGCACACGTCCTCGCATTCCGCGCAAGTGAACGTTGTCGTAAAGAGGGAGCCGCGCAGCCTGATTCGCAGTTCGGCGAGAGACAGAGTTGGCAGGTCATTTGAAAACCTTCCTTAGCCCGTCGTAATGTTTTCGAAGCGCGTCAGATTTAGTACAGTGATTAAGCAAACAACATCTATCGCACTCCCATCCAAAAATTTGAGCCAAGCCAATTCCAGAAGAGATCATCGGGGTAAAATATGGTTATGTGGCCCCACCTGATGGACACAATACTGTTGGGGTTGAGGCAACTATTTCCCAACCACAAAAAGTACAACCGCACATTCCCACTAGTTTTTCTTTTGCATACAAGTACTTGATCTCGTCGCCTGTGCATTCCCCGACCCCACCTGTAAAGAGCCCTATTACCACCGGTCCCGTATTACAGGTGGCTAGTGTTTGTTTACTTCAGGTGGGGCTACATAACCACATCTGACCAAGACCATGCACAGGGATAACATTTTGTAGAACCTCCAGCTGGGCGTAACATTAATACAGTTTGTCCCACCACCACCCGCCTTCGCTCGCGGGATGGGGAGACAATGCCGGTAGGGGTCGTTTACACTGTCCCGGTCCCAAGTGTAAGCGCAATGTGGGCATTGCAAGTAAAGTAAGCCGAAGGAGGATGCTGAAATCGTTAGTGGAAAGGTAGCCAAAGCTAAAACGGAAAAGGGCAACCTATTGTTCCGGTTTAGAGGTAGGGTTAGTTTTAGGGTTTGGGCTAGTATCAGGCTGAGAATTGAGTTTAGGGTTAGGCTTTGTGTTAAGTTTGAGGACTCAGATTAGAGTTAGGGTTTGGATTTCAGTTTAGGTTTAAG